ACTGTCGACAGCTCTATTTTGACTTTTCGAAATAATTCTTTTCATACAATCGTTATATTTTCTTGTGAGGAATCGAGGGTTCTGTGTTAATAGGCCTGAGGAAAAATTATTAAAAAAATATGAACCGTATCCATGTTGACAAATGTGGAAAAAGTATGAATGAGACTTGGATATCTTTTTGTATTGTGAAGATATCCAGTCTCATTCATATTTTTTTTACATAAAAAAAAAATATTTTGGGAATGGTGGTACGAGCAATGATAAAACAGAAGCTAATGATGGTAGTATACACACACACATACACACACACACACTCACACACACACACACACACACGTATATATATATATATTATATATGTGAATGAAATGTGAGGCCTTTTTTTGTAATATTTTTTTTTTTTTGGTAATATCTCCGAGAACCTTGACAGTTTGGTGGATCCTGAACCTTATTGCAAAATATTATTGGCATCTTTTTGTTTTGTTTTCTTCTGCGCTGATACGAAGTGATACACTCCAGCCAGCCAATCAGAGCGCAATATTCGTCCAATAGACATGTACATTCCACAAAAGGATTTACATTTCCTTTAATCAATCGTATAGTATGTGTCTCTTGACATAAAACTCATATATAAAGATTCACAAACTTGGGGGTTCCTTTGCCCTTTTAACAGTACATCAAATCACTCTTTATGGTTAGAATTTGAAGCCAGTCAGACGGTTGATACTTTACATGCAAGACGAGTAAATGTCTCTGGTCATTGGAATTATTCAGAGCTCACTCAGTGGGTACGATAATTTCAGTCATCATACTTCTACTTCTATATGAATAGTAGATATAATGAGGAAAATTTTTAAAAATGTCTTGTCTGAATCTCAGAAATATCTATGAAAGTTTCGAGTGAGTTGCAGAATAGTTGGGTGTTTTTTTCCATTTCTGTATAAAAAAAAAAAATACGGGCATATCAGTTAGTTTAACGGTTTTCTGTTGACTTTTCTACGTTAAATAAAGAAAAATACCTTTTGTTCTTTGACTGCGTTTTGCAGCAACCATGAACCAACATCAAATGAATATTAAAAAAAAAGGATTATAATCTGAAATGAAAATCGCTTACACAAAGTTAAGATTCTAGTTAGAAACTGAATTAGAGGGAATAAGAAAGTGAGTTGGTGAAAAAGAAGCTTATGAACAGGAAAATATGATGCACTTTTACCATACGTCAAGGATATATATATATATAAGAATTTTGCTTTTGACAATAACAATAGTGGACATGATATCAATAATGGTTTCATTAATATTGTTCTTACAATTACCAGTGTTTGTTTTCTTTTACAGTTTCTTAGACCATCTACCATGCCTTGGGCATGGGCCTTCCCTTGGACTCTTGCGTGGATTGGGATCTGTCTCATCCCTTCGTCACTTTTTCTTGCGGAAGCGAGTGGCGATCACGAGATTTCCGTCCTAGAAGGCCTTGCTGAAGAACTCTTCACGCCTTTTGCGGAAAACTTCCAAGAGGATGCCTTGCCTCAGATCAATGCCTCCCACTTACTTCCTAGCAGTCAGAAACTTTACTCCTCCTCCCACGGAGAGATTCTAGACACTCTCATACTCCTCCTCGACAACAAGGCCTCAAAGCGGCAGGTAGACAGCTCTGTTCCCGTTGAGAGCCTCCCTTGTCCTTTCTGCCCTAAATGCTACCCAGGTCAGCCCTGTCCTCTTAGCTGCCCGCCAACCCCGTGTCCAACATGTTACCCTGGGAGTATGTGTCCCGTTGGGTGCCCAGCCACTCCATGTCCTCCTTGCTACCCTGGGACTTCTTGCCCAAGGGGATGTCCTCCTACACCTTGTCCTGAATGCTATCCAGGTGTCCCGTGTCCCATTGGTTGTCCGATCACAGCATGCCCTCCATGCTATCCTGGGAGTCCTTGCCCTCCAGGGTGCCCTCAGACAGCTTGTCCTCCATGCTACCCAGGCGAGAAATGTCCTCTGGGTTGTCCAGCTACTCCCTGTCCTCAATGCTTTCCTGGCACTCCGTGTCCTCCAGGCTGTCCATTGACCGACTGTCCTGCCTGCTACCCAGGATTCCCTTGTCCTCCAGGCTGTCCAACCACACCCTGTCCTTTGTGCTACCCAGGAGTGCCCTGTCCTGTCGGATGCCCTGTCCTCACTTGTCCCGAGTGCTATCCAGGATCGCCATGCCCCGCAGAGTGTCCACCCACTCCCTGCCCACCGTGTTATCCTGGAGAGAAATGCCCAAGAGGCTGCCCAAGCACTCCGTGCCCTGATTGTGTTCGTGGCCAGCCCTGTCCCCCTGGTTGTCCCCCCGGCCCCTGTCCACCTTGCTATCCTGGAACAGCTTGTCCTGTAGATTGTCCTGTGACCCCCTGTCCTACCTGCTACCCAGGGGACCTGTGCCCTATTGGATGCCCTCCGACACCGTGTCCAGTCTGCTATGGAGACACAAAATGCCCTGCAGGATGTCCAGTTTACCCCTGCC